GGGGGGAGCCGGGCGGGGTAAGGTGAGGTGAGGTGGGGCGAGGGGCACTTCTTGCACCTCGCGGCCCGGCGGGAGGGCCGGCTCTATCGCGCACATGTGAGCGAATGGATGGAGTGGCAGGAGGGAGGGAGGGAGTGTGGGGAGGACACAGTACACAGGGAAAAATACGACCCCACAAAAAACACAAAAAAGGGGTATGTTTGTTTTCTATGCTGTGGGTCTTTTTTTTGTTGTTGGTCACACTTTTTTGTAAAACAAATAAAAATACTAACCGATTGCTACGGCAATAACGGTGTCACCATAGCAGCAAAAGAAAGTCCCCCCCCCCTTACCTCCCCACCGTTTTTTTTCAGCCAGAGTGCACCGTACGGGTGAAAGGGAACCGGCATATACGGCCGTCGCGTGTGAAAGGACCGCCGCGGCGTTACAAACCACTCCCGCCGAAAGTCATCTCGCCTTGCCGCTGCATTCGATATCGGTGTCGTGCAGCGGCGGTAGCAACGGCGGCAGCAGCAGCGGCGGAGGCAGCAGCAGCAGCGGCGGAGGCAGCAGCAGCAGCGCCAGGCCCTTCATGTTTATGGCAGGAGCATCGCTAATAACATGCACCCTCTGCACCACCCGCGGACCCCGCCCCGCCACGCTACACACACTCTTCTCGTGTGCCCGTCGCGCCTGCTGGGCCAAAGTCCGCGCGCAAAGGAGTGCTGCTGTAGAGGAACCATCACGCACATCGAGCGCGTGCGCGCGCGCAAACGCGATATGCCTCCGAACGACTTCAACGAGAGTGTTGCTATTATTGTTCTGCAACAACTCCTCTGACGGTCGCACACCTATAACGAAATGTCGTCATCGCGGTGCCCCTGCCTGCTGCTGCTCCCCGCCGCGACAAGGTGGCGGCGGCCGGCGGCCCGCATATCAGCGGAGAGACACTTTCTCTCCTCGTGCAGCAGCGCCGCGATGCGCTCCCCGCTGTGCCGCGGGTCCCTGGCCCCACCGGCCCGGGCTCGACCCCGACAGCAGGGCGTCAGAGGGCGGCCCGCGGGAGATGGAAACGCCGGATCGACGACCCTCGCCATTGCTCTCGGCGCGGCGTCCATTCGGCTGCCGCTGCTGTATGGAGGAGAGTTGTTCCTATCGCCGGAAATGCAAATGCAAACGACTCGGTCGGGGCGCACATAGCCCGCTTGCTGGGAGCGGCGCGCCCCGCTCAGCGCCGCTCAGCGCAGCTCGCCCTAAACGTAACGGTGAGCCCGTCTACGCCCCTCCCCCCTCTCCACTCCTCTCTCCCTGGCAGAGAAAGGACGGTGCCAAAGGCGTGGCTCTACGCGCGCGCGCGCGCGCACCCCGCTCCCGCAGCACACACATCACTATACTCGAAATAGCGGACATGACGCCGCCGCTCCTTGTCGTCCTCGGAGCAGGCCGGCCACGGCCAGGCCAGAGAGACTTTGGAGCCGCTGCATCGCAACATCGCGTCCGAATGGGAATGAGCCGGCCGGCCGTACCGAGAAGCTGAGGGAGGACCAGCAGGCAGGCAGGGCATTGCCACAGCCTGACAGGGGGGAAATTATTGACTCCTAGGCGCAGTTCTTGGCATAGCAATAAAAACAACAAAACAAAACTAGCCGCACGGCAAAGGGCTTAGAGAGAGAGAAAGACGGGCAACCTGCATTTAGATCGGCTCGGCAGGCAGGCGGCGGTGGGCTCAGTGGCCTGGCCGCGGAGGAGGTATGGGGAGGGGGAGGGGAGAGGGGGAGGCGAGGTGACCGGCCGGCCGGCCCACGGCGCGGCTACCGCAACGGGATTCTCCACCTCCTACCGCCCCCCGCAAACATGACGCTTGCAAACAGCGGCGATGTGCGCTCACTCACGCATGCACGCACGCGCGCGCACACGCCCTGCCCAAGCATCTCTGCCTCCCCTTCCCCCCTCCCTCCCTCCCTCCCTCCCTCCCTCTTTTTCTCTCTCTCTCTCTCTCTCACCCCTACGAAGGAGCAGCGCCCGTTTATTGCGACGTACGACACTAATGCATCTCGTTCATTCAGTCACAGCAGCACAACGCCATGAGGACCTCCCCGCTGCTGCCGCTGGCTGCTGCCCCGCCGTCAATCAGACCCGGCCCGGGCCGGCCGCCGCGACAGGCGCGGGGGAGATAGGTATGGCGCAGAGCTACAAATAAATACCAATCCGAGTTAATGCTCTTTTACGGGGCCCCTGCGGCAAGAGCGCCGCGCGCCGCACCGCCGCCGTCTGTCTGGTCTGCTCGCTCGGGGGAATAAACACGCCAATAAAAACTTATCTCCTGCTCTTCCCTGGGGATCGCAAGCTCGCGGGCGCGCGCGCGCGCGTCGCAGGCGCGGTCCGTTCGCGTGCGCGTGGGGGAGAGGGTGGGGTGAGGGGCACCGCGCCACTCCTCGCCACGCAGCCTCAACAAAGCCGGGATCATCTCAACGGTTTTGACGGCAACTATTTAAGCAACAAAAAAATAAATCGCTGTCTCTTTTTAAGAAACGAATTTTTGTAAGAAGCGAACGATCACGATAAGAACCTAAAGACGAATAGCAGTCTAATTTCGTCTGTTGCGGTGGAAAGTTTATGCCGAAGGTCACGGGTATTATTCGAAGTATTAACAGATAAGACGTAGTATATAGGCGGGAAAGGAGGTGGGGTGGTGCGGAAGGGAACGCGACAGCTGCGACTGAAAGGTTTTTCTTTCGTCTCGTTCACCTTAAACCTTAACTCACTCACCTATCGGCGTGCTGGGCTGCGACTGCAGGGGCGTGTTCTTCATGCCGAAGGGCTGCAGCGTGTGCGCGGCGGGGGAGATGCGGTGGACCTTGGCGAGCTGCACCAGCAGGTCCATCATGGGCGTGCTGCGGGCACCACAGAGAGGCAAGCGTACGTGTGAGCGAGCGAGTGAGTGAATGCCTGTCGTTTTGATTAATTATGACACTACGCTACTTGTCCCCCTCGTGACCCTCTCGTTACAGTAGTAGTGCCCCCCCTCCACCTCCCCCGCTGTCCAACGTAGCGTGGCGCCACGCGGCGCGGCGCGCGCGCGCGGATCGCATCAGTCAAGGACGCGTCGGCGCGGGCGTCGATCTGCCGCCGCCGCTATGCCGCTGTGCAGCGCCAGCCAGCGCCCATGGGAGAGGACCATTAGTACAATTTCCTTTTCATTACTCGATTGAGGCCGGCCGAGTGAAAGGAGTAGGGCATGGACATGCATGCCGCTGTGCTCGGCACCACCGGCGCCCCGCCCCGCCCCGCCCCGCCCCGCCCCGCCCAAGCAGACCTGCAGCGAGGGGCGGGGCCGGGGTCACCGCCGGGAAGGCAAACAACAGTATCTCTACTGTCTTTATGGCCGCACCGACCGCCGCGCGCCGCGCGGTCACTGGAAGGACGGCCAGCAGCGCCTCGCGGTTTTTAACGCGCAAACTTCGTTTTCCTCATTGCATGCCGCCGGCCTATCTTTTGTGTTCCATTATTTCCTTTTCCCTCCCAATAAAACCACGTTTAACTCTTTCTCTCATGATTCAATGTCAGTATTAAGAATACACAATACGTTTCCTCTAATACCCTTTTAACATTGTAAGAGACTAGATATCCCATCTAAAGGGTGACACCATTGGAGTCCTCACACTTAAAAAGATTTCTCACAAGTACTTTTCAATGAAAACATTCAAACTGCTTTGCACCTCTTTCGTGCACGGCGCAGTGCACGCCAGGTCATACATACCTCCGGTCCACGTTGCAGCGCGCCACAGAGCCGCAGGGCAGCACGACGCGCAGGTCCATGCCTCCGGCCAGCAGGTCGGGGGGCGCGTCCTCGGCCATGGGGACGCCGGACACCTTGCCCATCGCCATCCCTGTGCAGCAGAGAGCAGGAGGGTCACGACACATTACACTTGAGAGATGCCACGCGTGCAGGGATCGTCCGGAAAGTATCAAACCCCCGTCCCGTCGTTCGCCGTTGTTGGGCGCCCGCCAAGTTCAGCCTACACTGGGTCTCTAAGCGCCTAGCAGGTAGGCAACATCTCGCCTGCGACGCACCCGTGTACCGCGGGGTGGCCTACCCCCAGTCTCGCAGGCGCTGGGCTCCCGTAAATTGGACGAATTATTCGGAGAAAACGGACGTATTTTTGTCACTTACACTTACGCCCCTGGTAGGGCCTTAAAGGCACACACGAACCCTTCCTTTTGCGTTCGTCCACACACACACACACACACGCACGCACAAACACACACTCCGGAACGGACAAGCGGCCGTTTGTTACCGCACCGTGGCATAATTTCGCATCCAGCAGTGGGTGAGCTGACCTTTTCAAAAATGTCAAGTGATTTCCAGCGGCGCGCGACCGTCTCCGACTGCAATAGCCATTTTCCTCCTTTCCTCGCGAACTTTTTTTCCCGCGCACCTGCTTCCCCTCCCACCTCCACCCCTTTTCAATTATTCCTTTCCGCCTTTTACCCGCGCACCGTGCGCCCGGAGCCGCCGGCGGCGCTGCTCCGCGGGCGGCCCAAAGAGGTGGCGGAGGGTTCGCGGGCTGCGCTGCGACGCACCTTCGACGTGCAGCAGCTGCAGCAACGTCAACGCAAAATTATTATGACAATCGGCTGACAACTAAATGGAAAGACAATGCGCGACTCACAGACTTGGGTGTAGCTATGTGCGACGGCGGGGCGCGGGTCGGGGCGCAGTGTGGGGGGGAAATTATGGGGACTCGAAGCCAGGCGATATCAGCAAGCAGCGGCGGCAAACGCCCGAGCCACCTACCGACCCCGCCCCGCCCCTCCACGACTGGAAGCCATATCCTGGCAGATCTGACAGAGAGAAGGGTTTCGTGGAAAGCGCGCGGCGCGCACTGGCCTCGGCGCGGAATCGCCTCTGTACTCCTAGCGGCGAGCGAACCCCCTGCCCCGGCTCCCCCGGCTCCCCCGGCCGCGGGCCACCGATACACCGTCAATAGGCAAAGGAAACTGACGACGCGACGACCCTCTATGGCTGAGGGAGGGACAAAAAGAGGGTGGACGGGAAGGGTGGATAAAGGAAGGGAAGGGACAGAGAGGAGACAGGCGACAGAAACATGGGGAAGGTGTGAGAATCGGGAACTGTGTGAATAATATCTTAGTAAATCAGCATAAATAAATAGAAAATTGAAATTAACGTTCTACAAACGACGTACTAAATTTCCGATTGATATTGCAAATTTACGACGGCTTGCGTTGTTTTCAATGCGTAGGTGTCATACAAATTTCGTAACTCCACAATTAAAAATTGAAAAGTGACAATCGTCTACTATCGTGGAAATTTCTTCCCCCGTTACCCTGCCAAAGTATATTTTCGACGGAGCCGCAACGGAGAAGAGTGGCGCCCGGTCCAGCAAGAACAGCGATAGAGATGGGCCGTTGGAAGAGAGAAAGAGATCCGCGAGTGATTCTCTCAGATATTCGCGCCCCACCGAGCGCCGGCCGGTGCGCTGCAGAAGAGCATTAGCATTGTTCCTCCCCTCCGCGTCGACCTTCGCCACCACCGCGGCGTCCATTAGAAGCACCGCGAGCCACTCCTCGGTCTCGATGAGGGGGCGCCGGCACCATCCCGTTGCGCCGCGCGTTACGACACGACGAGAACCCCTCCTCCTCTTCCACCTCCAGCGCCTCGCGCCTGCACCATGACTCAGCCGGTCACCGAGACGCCGAGGGCCGCCGACACACACTACTCACGGCGCCCGGCATGGAAAAGTCAGAACTATTTCATATCGACACG